GGTTGGCGACGGCGCCGACATTGGACTATCCGGATTTTGATCGACCTTTTATTCTGGATACGGACGCTAGTGACACCGGGATCGGGGCCGTTCTGTCACAGTCCAAGGGCGGCGTGGAACGCGTGGTAGCCTACGGTAGCCGCGTGTTGTCCCCGGCAGAAACCCGCTACTGCGTTACTCGCCGCAAACTATTGGCTATTGTCTATTTTCTCCGCCAATATCGGCCCTATCTATACGGCTGGGCTGATCGTTTATTGTGCGCACGGACCATGCAGCTCTGCAATATGCCCTGAGAGTTGACCAACCATCTGGCCAACTAGCACGATGGTTGGAAACCCTGCAGGAATTTTCCTTCGACATTCAATATCAGAAGGGGTCGCGTCACGCGAACGCGGACGCGCTCTCCAGATTACCGCAGGGGTCCCCTTGCGCTTGCGCGTCGGGTACGAATAGGTGTACGCTGGTTCAGCTACCCCCTCGGCCTGTTGTGTCAGCTGTCGAGGTGCCTGATGCTCCGGTGTGCCCAGGACCGGCCGATGGGGTTCTGAACCTGCCGCGCTCGGTATGGATTCGCGAGCAATTGCTTGATGACTCGTTGGGGGCTTTACGGAGTCGGGCTGCGAAGGGAGCGGGGAAACTGCTATCCGGTGGGACGCCGGGGGCCGCTCTCCGGGATGGGTTGCTCATGTGGAGGGAGGGGTTGCACGACCGCTGGCGTCTGGTGGTACCGTCGTCGTTACGGTACAAATTGATTCGGACACTTTATTACATCTCGGGGTGCAGAAAACTTTGTTAACGTTGCAGCGAGACTACTTCTGGCACGGCATGACGACGGATGTCGTCGGACACATTCGGGCGTGTCCCGAGTGTGCCCGGCGGAAGCGGCCTAAAAACCCATATGTGCCGCCAGTGCAGTCGATACAGGAGTCTCGGATTAACGAGTTGGTGGCGTTGGATATTTTGGAACCCTTCCCGCCATCCGCTAGGGGCAATACATTTTTGCTGGTCGGGGTGGAATATCTTTCCCGCTGGCCGATGGCTTGGCCCTTACCCGACCAGTCAGTGGCGTCTATCATGGATGCCTTCCTGTTTGGATATGTAATGGACAAAGGGGCGCCGGAAAGGCTACTCACGGATCAGGGGCAAAATTTTTCTTCTAAATTGTTGGCGGAAGTGTGCGCTGCTCTGGGAACCAAGAAGGTTCGAAAGTCTCCCTACCACCGGATGGCATGGTGGAACGGCTTAATCGGATGCTGTCGGCCATGCTATGTCACACGGTTAACGAGAAACAAGCCGATTGGGATTTGCATATACCTGGGGTACTCTCCGCGTATCGGATGACGCCTCATATGTCCACAGGGTATTCTCCATTTTTTCTAATGTACGGCCGCGAAAATGTGCCGCCGGTGGACGTACAGCTGGGTACGGGGGTGAAGGGTCCTGTTAAGCCTCTTCCCGAGTACATTCAAGACACTGTTCGACGCGTCACCGAGGCACGGGAGGGGGCCCGATTGGCTACTGCCAAGACCCAGGCGCGAAACGAACACTGCGCCTGGCACTCGAACGGTAAATGCCCCTGGAGAGTGGGGGACATGGCATGGCTGCACTGCCCGCAGGTGCGGCCGGGGACCTCCCCTAAGCTTCACAAACCATGGCAAGGGCCGGTTAAGCTTATTGAGGTCCCTAACCCGCAGTCCGCGCGTGTTCGGTTCGGATCGCGGCGCTGGTACGTCCATACGTCTCGGTTGAAACCCTACGTGGCCCCGCTGACGAATGCGTCATCTCCTGATGTTGCCTTGCCGGTGTCTGTTGCACCCGACGCACCTCTGCCTTTGCCTGTTGACCCTGCAAGCGCGCCTGTCGTGCCTTCTACAGACGAACCAGCCGTGACGCAGGCGGATGCGGCGAATCCTGCTCTGGGTGGGCCTACCACGGCGACGGGGACACTTGACCCCGCTGCCCCTCCAACCCCACCACAGACACGGTTGCGGGAGACCCCGGACTTGGGTCTCTCTGGGGAACGGGACCTTGGTGTTGACGGGCCTCCAACAGCGGCGGGCAGTTCTAATCCCGTCGCTCTTAAAACCCCGTCGCGTTCTCGGTCTATGGGGGGGCCGCCGCCCGTTCGGGACGGGCCGGCGACCCGCACGCGTTCCAAATCCCTTTCCTTTCGTTGATTGTTTTGTTATAATCTCCGTTGTCCGGTGATGCCAGATGGTTAAAATGTTGCTCGCATTATTTTATTCTGTTGCAGCCGGGGACGGCTGGGTTTTCATCAGGGGGGGGGGGGGGTCGTGTAATGCGAGCAAGGATTGAGGGGGGCAGAGTCTGGGTCACGTGAGGAGAGGGAGGAGTTAGGGTCACGTGGGGGAGAGGATTTAGGGAGAGAACCGGAAGGGGATCGGGGAGTTGAGACGGAGTGAAACGGGAGGAGGCCACGCTGGGCAGTACGGGGAGAGTGGCGCGATCGCCACGCGTCGGGAGACGACTGCTATAATCATAGCAGGAACTACCACAGTCAGTATGCACTGCTGTAATCATAGCAGGTACCACTACAGTCAGTATGCACTGCTGTAATCATAGCAGGTAACCACCACAGTCAGTATGCACTGCTGTAATCATAGCAGGTACCACCACAGTATGCACTGCTGGAATCATAGCAGGTACCACCAGTCAGTATGCACTGCTGTAATCATAGCAGGTTACCACCACAGTCAGTATCCACTGCTGTAATCATAGCAGGTACCACCACAATCAGTATGCACTGCTGTAATTATAGCAGGTACCACCACAGTCAGTATGCACTGCTGTAATCATAGCAGGTACCACCAGTCAGGATGCACTGCTGTAGTGAAAGCAGGTACCACCACAGTCGGTATGAGACATTGTGCTTCGATACCAAAACAACACCATCAAACGATTTTCTGACACAAGCAGAGCATATTATGCCCTACAATACCCCATTATACTGTGGCAAGTCCAAAATGGGTGCCACATCCAGTTCTTCAAATTATCAAAGCTACACGACGGACATCCTCACAAAACTGTCTCCTCTAAAAACTTCTATTCCTTCATGATCATGGACAGAGAAGGAGGTAACCACATATTACGATGCGCCAACCTCTTCCAATAAGTATGTTGTCGATGAGTATGCCAAAATTGAGAGTGAGCGCTTTCTTTACATTCAAATTAATCAAAAACGCCTGCATATATAACAGTATGCTCATCTCAGGGACACATTCAATGCTGACGTACATGCGAACGTTCAGAATGTGAGTAGATTAGTTATTTTGCCTTCATCCTTCACAGGTGGACCAAGATACATGCATGAGAAGACTCAGGATGCCATGACGTACATCAGGCAATATGGCAGGCCCCATCTTTTTATCACCTTCACTTGCAAGTCTAAATGGAAGGAGATCCAAGTTGAGCTTTATCCAAACCAAAAGGCAACAGGCACACATGACATCATTGCAAGGGTCTTCAAACTCAAAGTTGATGAACTCATGAGGCTTATTACGACTAAGGAGGTGTCTTTGGAAAGACAATATGTAACTTGCACAACATTGAGTGGCAAAAACGTGCTCTTCCTCATGCTCACATTTTGCTATGGATGACAGAAAACATTCATGCAAGTGACATTTACACATTTGTCAGTGCTGAGCTACCTGACCGCCATCAAGACCCTGCCCTATTTGATGTCGTCTGCAAGCAAATGGTCCATGGCCCATGTGGGCAGTTCAATGCAAATTCGCCATGTATGCAAGACCGCAGGTGTACCAAAACGTATCCACGCATCTTCTTGAAAGACACTCAGTCAGGCCATGATGGCTATCCTCTATATCGTGGCAGAAATACTGAGCATGGTGGATTTCAAACAACGCTCAGACCTCCCACTAACTCTGAAATGAAGGTTGACAGCCAGTGGATCGCTCCCTACTGCCCTCTTCTGTGCAAAATCTTCGAGCCCCACATTAATGTGAAATTCTGCAATTCTGTGCAAGCCATCAAATATGTTTGCAAATACATCAACAACGGCTCTGACATACCTGTCTTTGCCTTACAAAAAGAGGGGCAAAGTGTGGATGAGGTTAAATTTTTTGTCCAAGGAAGATACATCAGCAGCAATTAGGCCATTTGGATAATTATTGGCTCCCCCATCCATGAGCGTTCCCCCAAGGTCGTCCATTTGCCAGTTCAACTTGAAAATGGCCAACGCATCTACTTCACCCAAGGAAATGACCAACAACAGGCCCTGGGCTCCACAAGATACCACCCTGATGGCGTTCTTTGTTTTGTGCCGAAGTTATCCATTTGTTGCCAACCTGCTCTAAAAGTTCCAATGTGCGTGTGTAAGTCGATGTCTGTGTGTGTGTGTAAGTCGATGTGTGTGTGTCTTTTTTGCCCGGGCAACGCCGGGTACTTCCTGCTATTAGGCAATATTTATGCTCTCACGGTCGCCATCCCCCCTCCCCACTTCCTATTATTCTTATGGAAGAAAAATTCCCCGTTATACATCGTTTCATTATAAGTTGCAAATTTCTGGCGACTAGCTCTGATTGATAACCTAAAAATTTCAATTACGGTAAAGAGATTACTTCTTAAAACCCGACTAATCATCAACCAGAGAATGGTTACTTTCCAAAACCAGTCCCCTCAGTGCTGTGATCCAAAATAAGGGTTGATTTGGTGGACAGTTTTTTGTTATGTCGGCTGGCAGGTAGATACCACCCTGATGATCCTAAATACAGGTTCAGCGAGTAGCGACATGGTTTGCATGCGGCTTGACAGGAAGACTCTTTACTTCCGGCTCTGAAAAGAGGTCAAACCAGCATAGCTGCCAGGTGGTGGAGGGGGGGCTGCACTGCCTTACATACATGTTTGATGATTTTTTCTGTTTAAAACAAAAGCATATCAACCAAAATGGGTCAGCCCCAGAGACTTCCAAGACCCAAATTTGCTTGTTTTGAAGTCTCCATCATTCACATTTCCATGCTCACCTTGGCGTATTCTTGTGCTAGCTTCTGATACTTGGCTTGAGTCTCCGATGCCATGGCCGGGCAGTTTTCTCGCACACACCTCGGTCTTGCCCACAATCCCAGAATCTGAATCTCTCCCAGGAGATGGGAAATACAGCTGACGAGCCACTTCCCAAGACGGCCGTACCACTCTAGCTCTTGCCGTCGACAGGATCTGCTGCTGCTGCTAGAATCGAGAGGATACAGCACAGGCATTCCACATGCAATCAGACCACAGGGACAACAGCTGAAAGTGGGCAGCTATGAAGGACAGTGCAACACAGAATGAGGTGTATAGCCAGCCTGATTGCGTTATTCTCCCCGGTGCTGATGATAACGAAATACTGTTATTCCAGATCTCCGTTTTAGTTTCAATTAACCTTGGAGAGGCTCAGGGCAGTTTCAAATCGCGTGTTATTTGATGTTGCATAACACAGCTAGAAATCGAACCTGGATTGTAAGCGTGAAGCATAGTGCACATGTACCACTTATATTGCCACTCCACACGAAGCACATTCGCCAGCAAATAGTTAAAATGTTCTCTGGCAGACCCACCCTCATGGGACGTAAATACGTTATATATTTTTCCAGCAAACTCGTGTTAACATACGCACAATGGTGCCAACGGAGACATTAACATGAGGTGAGCAACTCGTGCTTGTGTCTTAAGCAGGGGCACAGCTCTAGATTTCAACGGGGGGGGGGGTGCAAGATCCGACTATGGATCTCCCCCCTCCTTCTCTCGACTCACGTTTACTGATATAGCTAGGGATGTTTATATACTATTTTACAATAATATGTAGGTTAGAACTATATATTGTTTTAGTTGCACTGTTTATTGGGTTTAGAGGAAGACAGTCTGACATCTATATATAAAAGGGAAATGTGTGCTCGAAATGTTTAGCATACTTTCCAACATGCTACAAACTTGAAATTTGGCATGTGGCTAGCTTCCAGACTGTATACAATGCTAAAAGTCTTAAAATAGACTCATAGCTCAGTGAGCCTTACCTGGTAAAATTAAAATAGTAATAAAAATAGTTTAAGGAGAAATCGGTCAATGAGCTGACAGGGCAATGTTGGACTTGCGTCGAAATAGCACGTCCCAATACTGTATGCAGTGTCAATATTATGTTATATTCAGTAAAGTAACCTAAACGCGATACAATTTAGCGCATTAAAACACAAGCATACACCTCACACTTCATCACAAAGATGAGGATGTGGCACAGCCATTCGATAAGTTTTCGTGACTGCAGGGATTCATCTTCTTGGTTCTTTCGGTAAAGTCACGTAGAAGGGAAATAATAAAATAATAAAACATAATAAAATACAATTCTCACGACGTTTCGCCCACAACGCAAGCAGCCGTCCTCAGGTGAAGAACAGGGCTGTCGGAAAGACAGCGTCCGAATCATAATTATGTTTTATTTTTTATTATTTTATTACTTTCCTTCTACGTGACTTTACCGAAAGAACCAAGAATAAGTTTAGCACAACTCAGATCCAATCCAACTCCTCGACGATTCAATTCCAGAGCTGAACAAAGCACGTAACTTCCTGGCAACACTTATCGTGATTTCTGTATTGTTTGATAAGAAACACGATTTCCAAGTGTGTGCATGGTACGTACCCTGTGTGTTAAGACAACAAACTATCTTATCAGGGATAATGTGCTACTTGAGAAGTTAGGCGAATTTATATGAGCTCATTTGTGGACCATTCATTTTGCCTGGAGGTGAAAAGCAGGATACCTACACACTTATAAGATAACTCTCAAACTCTTCCACAAATCGCGTCCTCGTGTTCACAGCAGTTGTGCATAGCAGTCATTTCCTCCTCAATCTTGGGTGAGTAGTGAAAATTTTACATTCCTGCGGCCGGGATCAATCTGTGAAAAACAGCTTCATAGCTCATCGGATTCCCCCAGCCTAAATAAAGATTCTGATTCTTTAGTACAGCCACTGGTTATTCCCCTTCAAGTACAACCTACTAATTACTACTTTGTGGGATGTCACATACGCCGGCCACAGGAACGTGGAATTCACACCAACGGGGAGTAGAACGATGTCCCACGCTCGAATGCAGAGAGCACAACCGAGAGCAGCAGCAGTGAGACAGGGAGATGGGGAGACAGTGAGAGAGAAAGTCGGTGAGACAGGGAGACGACAGGGGGACGGTGAGAAAGGGAGACAGCAAAACTGTTATACGATGAGACGGGGAGACAGGGAGACGGCGATACAGAAACATGACGAGACGGTGAGAGAGGGAGACGATGTTCCCCACTCACGTCACTGTGGTTAGTGCGTAGCCGCGGGGATTCTTAAAGCTGCAAGCCTAACCACATTTCACCACAATACACTCAGAAACTATTCTAACGAACATGTAGAGCAGGGCCTACTCATAGAAATAATTAGCACAATGCCTTTCGTTTCGAACGTTGCCTTGTAATATTAAATCTAGGTCTGACGTTTCGAATCGAGGACCCTTCTTTAGAGAGAGGGCATTCATTTTAACAAAGCAACAACGTAGTGCGGCGAACCAAAAATATGTTAAATAAAATGACACGTGGGACATTAACAGACATTGCCAAATGAAATACTACACACTAGATACAAAAGCCTGAAGAGAATAAAGGTTTCAATGGCTCATGAATTTCAATGTAAACCCCGTGTTAGCTACCCGTTGCGCTCTGTATCCAAGCCGTTTCACGCAAGCTCGCAAACATCGTTTCAGGTGCCAGTCAAGCGCGTCATGATACGAATGTTGATTATTAGTCCTAATGTATTATTAATAGTTATAACTATGACGGCGCTGCAGTGGCTACTGTCACGCATCACTCCCATGCATTGCCAAGGCACAGATGTCACTGATGTGCCATGGCGCGCTGCTTGTAAGTCGAACTCGTCAGAGAACCCTGCGGCTCGTGCCGACATCACCGGGACTACGCATCGCGGCTGCGATTGTTCACGGAAAGGCGCCGAGAGCCGCCGTGTGAACTCAAGAGGAGGGAGAAAGCACGCACCGGGAGGGCGCGGTGAGGCCTGGGCAAGGCGGCGGCGTTCGTGGCGCAGGCTCCCGGCCAGGGCGTCTAGGCAAGACGGGGGGTGGGGCGGGTTTCGCAGGACACTCTCCGCCTTGGGGCCACTGGCGCGCGGCTGTTCGCCATCGGCGCGCTGCAAAGATGACGGCACCAGCAGAGAGGGGCGCGGTGGAGGAAAAGGTTGCAGAGGGGAGGCGCTCCGCACTCGCGTCCACACCGAGGGGTGCGGCGGCGTTGGCGACGCGGGCCGCGACGTATCCGGGTCACGAGGTGAAGCGGGCGAGCGTGAGACCCGTGATTGGCCAGTCGCACTGCGATGGGAGTTATGCTCTCCGATGGAAGGGATGGGAGTTTTTTCAGTTTCATTTCAGTTTCATTTAACACGTTCCTTCGGAGTGGGCAGGTAGGAACTTGGTTGGACAGCGCATTCGTGCACGACAGACAGAAATATAATCCTTGGTGGGCAATGTGGAAGCTGTTGTTCCTACCTGTATAAGTGTCGTGTATCGTGTCGTGTATAGTGTAGTGTAGGTTAAACGTTGAGTTTTTAAGGGCACCATGGGGGTGACCAGCCCCAACCCACCCAGCCCCCACCCAGTCCCACCCTCCCCTCCCCACCCAGTCCCACCCAGCCCAACCCTCCCCACCCCCTCTCCACCCAGCCCCTCCCCACTCTCCCCTCTCCACCCAGCCCCACCCCTCCCACCCCCAACTGAATCACCTTAAGGCTGGGAATGTTGAAAGAAACACGAGGCAAAAGATCCGCTTTTTAAATCCTTTATATTAAGTTCACTTGCTTGCTTGCTTTGGACCGTGAAAATCTTGCGGTCGTTTTTTAACCCACTTCCCGTGATCCAATCGAGCGGACATTTTCCACACAGACTCGTTGTGCGTGACAATTAATGTTCGTGAAATTTTTTTTCCAAAATTTTACACTTTCTAGGCAAAAAAAATGTATTTTACATTTATTCAAATGGAACTCATTCATGGCTTTGGCTGAACGTCACAGGCCCTGGCGGAGTAGCGCAGTTGGTAGCGCCCTCGCTTCCCATGCCAAAGGTCGCGGGATCGATCCCCGCGTCCTCCACAGGTGAATATATTATTAAATCCTTTATATTATAAGTTCACTTGCTTGCTTGCGTGCTTACGACCGTGCAAATCTTTCGGTCGTTTTTTAACCCACTTCCCGTGATCCAATCGAGCTGACATTTTGCACACAGACTCGTTGTGCATGACAATTAATGTTCGTGAATTTTTTTTCAAAATTTTACACTTTTTAGGACAAAAATATTATGTTTAATTACCAATTGCTTAATGCTGCCATGCAATCATCTGACCCATAGGTGGCAGCCATCTCAAGCCAGAGGACGAGAGGACTAGCCGCCACGCAAATAAAGGATTTAGAGTGAAAAACTTTGTTTTTACGGGTTATACTTGTTTCTTTTCAAGGCTTCCATTTTATGAATGGAGCCACCCTCCCCTAGTTCCATTTTGTGAATGAAACATCGCCCGTCTCTTCATTGGCCCGAGTCGCGGCGGTGCCCCCCCTCCCAACCACTAACCCCCCCCCCCTCTACCAACCCCAACCCACCGCTCCCATTGGTCGGCGCCCCCGAGCCAATGGGAGGGCTCTGGTGGGGCGGGGCCATGCACGACAGACAGACAAATAATCCCTGGTGGGCAGTGTGGAACCTGTTGTTCCTACCTGTATAACAGGACCCTGCGGGGTGGGCTGGTAGGAACGAATTACCAAAGAATATAAACAATGTATTATTACACTTGTTTAGCCAGGAAAGCCCCACTGAGTCGAAAGGTTTTTGTAGGGTCCTGCCAAGTGTTTGAAGTAGGGGGCGATGTTGCTACACCTAATCGGACGATACGAAGGGAGAGTTTGAGGCCTAGTTCTAGGCTTTAGGCCTAGCTGTAGGCTTTAGGCCGCTGTGAGTTAATTTTTAATTTGAATGTTATTATTTACGTAAAAGCTTTAAATTTAAATGTTTCTATTTAAAAACATGAGGGAATGTAACATTGTTAAACATTAACTCCCTTGCACACACGCAGGGGTACGATACGAAGGGAGAGTTTGAGGTCTAGTTCTAGGCTTTAGGCCTAGCTGTAGGCTTTAGGCCGCTGTGAGTTAGCTTTTAATTAAAACTTTTAAATTAAAATTTATCTCAGGGAATTATAAGGGAATGTTACACTTGTTTAGCCAGGAAAGCCTCCATAATTTAAATGTTTTAATTAAAAGCTATCTCTGGGAATTATAAGGGAATGTTACACTTGTTCAGCCAGGAAAGCCTCACTGAGTCTAAAGGTTTTTGTAGGGTCATGCCAAGTGTTTGCAGTAGGGGGCGATGTTGCTACACCTAATCGGACATCGGACGGACGGACGATATAATCTATTGTAGGCTGGTTCACTTCGTTCCTACCAGTAAAAGATAACTTGACTTTAGGTAGCCAGGCAGACAGCCCCCTTAACTATCGCCCCACCCCTCCCTTAGGCCCCTCCCCTGACCCCCCTTCCCTTAGGCCCCTCCCCTGACCACCCCCCATATTCTTAGGCCCCTCCCCTGACCCCCCTTCCCTTAGGCCCCTCCCCTGAGCACCCCCCCCCCCCCCATATCCTTAGGCCCCTCCCCTGACCCCCCCTTAGGCCCCTCCCCTGACCCCCCCCTCCCTCAGGCCCCTCCCCTGACCCCCCCCCCTCAGGCCCTCTCCTGACTCCCCCCTTCCTTAGGCCCCTCCACTGACCTTCCTCCCTTAGGCACTTCCCCTCTCCGTACCCGGCAGTAGGTCTCCACCAATCAAAGAGCTGTTTATGTTATATATTTATTTATGCACGACAGACAGTCAGACAGACAGACAATAAATCCCTGGTGGGCAGTGTGGAACATTGTTCCTACCTGTGTAAAGTAGTAACTCGGCAGGAGACGACTTCACGGGTAGCACACTCTTTATTTTCGCCAACTTGTAGTTACACGGATGACTAACACCCTACTTCGTTACATGGGTGACCAACACCTACTTAGCTACACGGGTGACGGACACCCACTCAGCTACAACTTCGTTACACGGGTGACCAACACCCACTTAGCTACACGGGTGACCAACACCCACTCAGCTACACGGGTGACCAACACCCACTCAGCTACACGGGTGACTAACACCCACTCAGCTACACGGGTGACCAACACCCACTCAGCTACACGGGTGACTAACACCCACTCAGCTACACGGGTGACCAACACCCACTCAGCTACACAGGTGACTAACACCCACTCAGCTACACGGGTGACCAACACCCACTCAGCTGTACTGACACGGGCTCTTACGCCCCGTAGCCTTCCGGGACACACCCAGCCGGGGTGCCCGTCTCGGCTCTGGGTACCACCGTCCCGACCCACACGGGCGTCGGGCTACGGTCCCCCCAGTCTCGGCTCCGAGCCACACAGGGCCCCGGTCCCCACAAGGACGGCGGGACTAGGGGTCTCGGGCCCCTACCTCCTCCACCCCGTCTTCGGTCTTCAACTGGTTAACACTGACCACGAGTGCTCTCGCGCGTCCCCCTTTATACCCCTCCTGCGGACGTCGCTGAGAGTACCCACTTATCTGACCAATCACTGCGCACTCGCTACGATCCTCTTTTCCCAGCTTGTGTGAGCGCGCCTCACCACCGGCGCGCGCGTCCATGCCACGCCCACACCGCGTGCCCAACCCCGCGCCCCGTGATCCATCACTGCCGGCGCACGTCAATACCACCACTACATCACCCCCTACCACATAGCTCGCAGCCGACCCGGCTGCTAATAAAACATACAACACCCCTTCACTCCCATGTGTGCCCCGTAACATAACACAAACCCTAACAACACAACATGAACACCGCAATCCGCAAAACCCAGCAACCGCCACACCCGCAACAAGAACAACATGCACAATCCGGCGAGTGGCAACGATACTGTGTATGCGGAAAGAGTAACAATAAAAAAAAATTTCTTTAATCATTTTCTCTTCTTTTCTCTCCGACTCATGCAGCGTCCCAATGTCCGAGCGTCCCTTGAACGGGACATTACCCCGGCAGAGGGGGAAGCCGGCAACGAAGTCGGGCTTTAACAAAAAAAGAATTTTTTTTTTTTTTTCATGAAAAGTGTTGCGTCCTTGACCGAGTCCGCCTTGCCGGACCGTCGTACGGCACAGGACGCAGTTGGCCATCCGGCGGCGCCGGCAGTTCAGGAAGGCATGGGCCAGGCATCGGGGCTCCGTGCGAGCCGCGGGGATCCGGTTCCCGACGGTCAACAGCCGTCAGGTCCGAGACACCTGGGGGTGGGTCAGGTGGAGACACGTGAGGATCAGCCTGCGACACATCCCTCCCCGAGTCGACGGTCACATCACACGCTCGGTCGTCACGGCACAACCCGGGGTCACGCGGCGCCGCGTAGGGTTTCAGTCGGGAGGGGTGCACGTACCAACGGTGTTTTCCCCATTTAATCTGTATACTCTGGGGTCGTGCAACCCGCACAATTTCCACCGGTCCCCTCCATGGTCTCAACAGTTTGGGGGACGTAGCCAACGGTGCGTGTGGACAATGCAGCCAGGCCTTATCGCCCGGTTCCCAATTGTGCGTATGCACCTTCCGTTCATGCAATCGCTCGTTCGCAATCTGCCGAGAGCGTGAATTCAATCTCGCAGCCTCTCGCGCCTCAGCCAATTTGGCGATGTTAAACTTAATGTGGTCTGCCAATTTAGATTTTGCCCGTGGCTGTGAAATCCCCAGTTGGACGTCCATGGCCGGATCAGCCTCCCGCCCATACATCAGAAAAAATGGAGAAAACCCCGTCGCCGCATGGGGTGCCATCCGATAGGCCGCTAGTACCCCCGGTACCTGTAAGTCCCAATCCACCTGGTCGTCGCATACCTGTTGGCACAGCATAGACGTAATCGTCCTGTTCAGACGTTCAACCATACCGTCAGTCTGCGGGTAGTACGGGGAGGTACGTACTTTCTTTGTACCCAACAGGTCGCACACCTCGCGCAACAAAACACTCGAAAAGTTTTTCCCTTGATCCGTCAGCAAGCGTTCGGGGGCGCCTTTGTCCAAAACGTAACCTTGGACAAAGGCGTCCGCCACTACCGCAGCCGACTGGTTGGCGAGTGTCCACGCCATGGGCCAGCGGGTGAAGTACTCTACGCCAACCAGCAGGAACTTATTTCCCCGAGGTGTAGTGGGAAAGGGCCCCAAGATGTCTAGCGCGACCA